TATCTGGCAAGTATGCTTGGTAAGAGAAAGAAGGAGGAAATCTGAGTGAGCTATTCAATAGAACTAGTATTGATACCTCGTAATCAGGTGAACTAATGCCAGCCATCAGTTAAGGCTCATCACATCAGTGATTAAGTGATGATCGCCTATTATGTCGACGGGTTTAGCAAAACACAGTACAGCGAAAAACACATAAATATGGCAAATACGGGGTTAAAACCAGAAAAAAAGCTTCAAAGTAGGAAATAGAGAGGTAAATCAAGGGTAGACCTCAACCCTCCCATCTAACGTATATTAGTGGCAGACACAGCGAAGTAAATGTATCAGCCAGTAGAGGATCTACTATATACGGCTTGCAAATACTGTAATGAGACAGAGCTGCCAAATAACTTAAAGGAGGAAAGATGAAGTCTTCAGGGTTGGTCAATCCCGTCTAAGGGACGCACCCGCATTCGACTTCCATTCAGATCCGTAGTGGTGTGTTGAGTGCGTATGTGGTCTATACAATGACTTGCGGTTTCCAGCCGATGTACAAGTCAGTGCTTTTACCCTCCCAGGAGAATCTGGTGCCAATTGACGGACTCCGGAGTGATAGATGGCTTGGTTGGCGCTAGGCGGATGTCGATCCAGAGTCCGAACTCGTGACCATGCGGGTGAGGTGCGCCATTTGCCACTACACCGTCTCTGTCCCTAGTGATCCTCTACCTATGCCAAATTAGTACTTACCTCAGACATTTCAGATGGCAATGTACAAATTGGAAGTTTCCGGAAACTTTAGGACTCTGTTCAGAATTATATCGACGTGGAGTGTAAACAAGATTGGGACAATATATTTATTAAGTAATTGTACAAATACAATGTCAACGAATAATGGAGAGTTAATCAGCCTTACAGGCAAACGGACTGGATTAGGATACATGATGATAGTTGTACTCCTCGAATTTGACACGTAGGTTGTGAACTAGCGGCATTATAAAGGCCACTATGGCATCGACCAGATACGTCGAGGAGAGGAGGCATGCAGTGAAAAATACAACATCTAACCAACTGATATCATGATTGTCTGTCGAACTCCTGAATGAAATTGTTGAATTTTGAATCTAATGTTTTGAACATGCCTAATAATCGTAAGTTTCAGCTTCGCAAAAGATTTGTTAAGCATTTTCATCTCCTGTCCTGCATCTACTGCCGACTTTTCGGCGTGAAATCTTTCTCTTATAGAGGTCCACGAACTCTTGGAGATTCCACTCATCGCTTTTGAACATGGAGTGGTAAATTATGGCTGTAATAGTGATATCAACCAAGGCTCAAAGTCAGCTTCTGGGTTGTGTTCAATGTAGGTTTGTTAGCTCATAAAATTTACGGCTAGCGTAGACAGGTGCTGTTTTCGAAAAGATTCCTCCAGTTGTCAAATCTGAGCCGGTCTAATTAATACCTTTAATATTGAAGGATAAAAGGATGAAGCTTTTGGCGTTAATCAATCCCGTCTCAAGGATGCGCCCCCGCACTCGACTTCCATTCAGAATCGTAGTGGCGTAGTGAGTGCGTATGTGGTCTATACAATGACTTGCGGTGGCCAGGCAATGTACAAGCCAGTGCTTTTATCCTCCCAGACGAGTCTGGTACCAATTATCCGACCCTAGAGGGATGGAGGGCTTGGTTGGCCTAAGCGGGTATCGATCCGGGATCCGAACCTCTGACCGTGAGTGTAATATAGTGCGCCACTTGCTACTACACCACCTCCGCCCACCTTTCATATTACTTCCCGGAAAAGTAGGCATGTTAATCAGGGATCTTTCTTCAATCACGAAACGGACTTCAAAATACCTTTTGAAAGCTCTTCCTATCGATGTGGTCAGCCCATAAACTATCCAATATTTCATCCAGAATTTAGCTCCTTCCATATTTTCGTCTTCCAAGACCACAATGGTGCAAATCGCAGGGAATGCCAATACCTTGAAATAGTTTTATTGGAAAGATAAAACATGCAGTTGTCCGTTTTCTTGGTTCGTTCTCGTCTAAGATTTGCCCACACGTTTAATTTCCGAATTCATTGGAATCACAAAAGTCTTTGAATGAGCTGACGGGCCTGTTAAATTGATATAGAGTTGGATTGGGCAGAGTCAGCGACCTCACTACACTTCAGCCTCTAGCTCAATACAGGTATTTTTCATTCGAGTAAATGTAAAATGTGGCTCATTAGCTGGCGGCCTATATTTGACCCTCGGTATCATCTCACACGGATGATGAGTGAAGATCTCTATTACCGATTCAGTACCTTTCAATTAAATTTTTGACATTTTTTGCTACTACGGTCAATAGGAATGTTCGTAGCATTTTTTACATTAATTGCTGAACACTAACATCTGATGAAAGTTCATTTCAATTGATTCTTTGCTTTACTCAGTTCATTAATAAAATAAATACACCAACCACTAGTGAATGCATGACAACGAGCGGATTCTGGCGAAGAACAGCAGCAATAATGACGAGGCATGCACCACAGAATAGATGTTCCCTTCGGATCCCTACGATCTGCTCCAACTCCTTCCATCTTAAACGTCTCTCATCCTCGCACGGAATGAAAGATTTTCGACTATCAGAGGTCCTCACCTTTTGTGGTGTTCAGTTTTCCTGTCATATAAAAAATTACAAACAACAATATTAATTTTCTCCCATGTAACATCATGCCAACCATTGATGAGACGCACTTTCACTGGCTCTTCACCTAAAGTTTTTGTTTAATTGCAAGAGAATTGTGGTATGTCTTTTACTATCTATTTTTGATGTGCCAGGCATATCACAAAAAGCGCCAAACCATAGCAAATTGTCGATCCATCCGAAAACAATTTTGTTGGTACTAGCGAATTTCGTTTTTTTTATTATAATTTGTGATTAATTCACCATTGCCATATATAGATGTAGTACTTCTTCCACATTACTTCTTGCCCATTTTTTAAAATTTTTGCTCTCTATAGTGTTGGAATGAAGCCGATGAATTGGGATTGAAAGTCGAGAAATGACTTACTATTCTCTGGAGCCGAGGAGATTGCAGTGCGAAGCCTTTCTATGATTGATGGCGGTCGTTCCTCAGGTGAATGGGCAGTGTACTGTAACTATCAGGTTGAGTAAAAAGTTTTGATCGGTTTATCAATCTTCACTTTAAAAAGTCTAATTTCCATTGAAAAGGATCTCTATTAGTAATGTAGTCTCCATCGTTGCCCCCAATACATGTCTAACGATCCGGTAGTTTTTTTGATTCCTGGAGCCCAGAACGGTGGCGGCCGCCCGTTCGAAAACCCGGAGGTCTCAGTTTTGAGTACCGAGCAATCATCTAAAATTTATATCGCGAAGATGATGTTTCAGAGCGAGAAACAAATGGTAATCAAACGGAGCGAGACCGAGCGAATAGGGAGAATGAGGCAGCACTTCCTTTTTCCTTTTCAAGTTCGGTAACTTACAGACAAAACAATTTCGCAATATGGAGTTGAGCGCTGTCGTGAAAAAGGCAAACATTTCAGGCTGCGAACGCTTCCCTCGAACAACATCGGCCAAACTCTGTAGCTGAGAAGCGTAAATCGTGATGGCTGCGGTGGAACCCTCAATAAGTTATACAAAGAACATAGAGCACTCTTTGAGAATGTTCCCCGACGACACAGTAAAACCTTGCTCGGAAGTACCACCAACCCACTCGGATGGGTGTGTACCGGGTATTTATTCGACAACGGTAATAAACGATCATATGAGTATTTTCAACGAATAAAGTACAAATTTCTAGAATAAACTGTAACATTCAATGCGTACCCAGCTTTTATGTCGTGGCCCGCGTGACTTACCTTTACATACCAATTTGTGACCGAAAGCAACCTACTACACTGATCGCAGAGCAAAACCCCTGCTGTCCTTTGATATCCTCCTCTCAAACTAAACGTGTGAAGATTACAGCTCCATCTGCTTCTATGTTGTTTGCAGTCCAGTGAATCGATGAGGTTGGGATAGGTGTGGACTAGGAAGTTGGGATTCTACTTTCCACTGAAGTTAATAGGTGTTCATGAATACCATCTTGAAGCAAGTATGTTCGAAAAAGGAAAACTGCCTACTTTCCTTCTCATGAAAACGTCTCCCAGAAGTCAAGGATAGTAGGATTCCATTGTTAGGGCTATCGCAGACGTCTCTCAAAGGAGCATTCACGTAGTAGAACGGAATTTAGCCGTTGCGGTCAATCTCAAAAATAAAGGCTAGCAGTTTATAGCAGTCTTTCTATTCTTTTTATTGGTCTCGTCGCGACCGTAGCTCTGCACAAAAGAGCATCGATGGTGGGGACGCAAGCGAGGCAACAAGTGAGATTCCTGGCACCCAAGCACCCAGAGGGAAGGCATTTGCTGACTGCTTGGAGGTGAAGCACCTCAATCCTGATGTGGAACAATGAGTCCGCTTTTCCCTCCCCTTCGAGGGATGATGAGCCAAAACGAAGAACGGGAAGAGAAGATGAACTGCGTCAGCTGTCAATGTTCCTTTTCCACTTAGGCGCATGAAGAACATTCTGGCAAATGACTTGTACAACGACAAGACAGTTTTACGCGCAGCCTATCCAGGAGGTGACCATCACGATTGTGCTACGTCTCCAAGAGAACCTTCAACTCCCTCCAATAGCTCTTTACTATGGAAGCTACGGTTTGCAAACTAATGGTGAAATCACTCCATCATTTTCAAATGAGGAAACCGAAGGCAGAGTA